AGAAAGCAGTTTAAAAACAGGCTGTGAAACTTTAATGCATCCTGTAAAATACTGCACCTCTTATTGTCTATGCAATTTCAAAAAACTAAGACATAAGTAGTTACGTAATAGTGGCTAGCAGCCAGTCAAGCAATTTCACCCTGCTTCTAATCTTTAAGATAAGATAGTGTAATCTTAATTTTTCTTTCTTTCTAGCTTTTACCATTACCTGGTCTATTTGATTATATAGCACCGACAAGTTTGAACCTGTCAGATTAAAAGAAAAAGATCCTGTAAATGGAAAGCATTCTTAGTTTTCTCGCAGAAATCATAAAATTATGAAACTATTACTTGCAGCTAGTCTGGTTCCTGCACCTATAGTTCGTTCGATCTGATCCAAATCAGTTGATAAGTTTGGAAACTTGTAGCTTTTTCCTGTGGTTTGGTTTGTTTTCACAAAGAAAAACTCAAAGCAAACTCTGAACTAAAATACATCACAACAAAAAGGTCTGGAGCAAGAATAGTAAATACTGGAAGAAGGTGCTGTGTTGTGGTCTTGTGGATAACATGAAGAATTTACATTAATTTCACAGCTAGTTGCTAACCCAAACCCTGCGTTTGTGTATTTTGGACATTTATGGTACCTTGCAGCATCCCAGAATGCAAATCCTACCTGGCTACAAGAAAGCATTTAACTCAAACCTGCAGCATACACCTTGTAGTTTGCTGGGATCACACCATAAACTAACCGCTGTGGAGTTTGTTTGGAAGTGGACCTCCACGGGTCTCAGTGCGGTTGTTTTGGTGTGCGTTGTGTGTGTTCTTTTGTTAGGTTGGACTAAAACCAGGCTAGCTGTTTTTCACTTTTCGAACAAAATGATGCTAACTTGCCACCAACCTTAGCAGAATATCCCTCACTGATCAGTCCGCTTTGGTGGTTTTATAAGCATTTAATGCATTAATAAAGCATTCAAAAAGCAGATGTTACAAGGAAACACTATACAAATGTTTTCACTATTTCATATTGACATTTCCTAACAACAGGCTCTTTTCTTTTTAATCTGAATGTTAGCACTTTTCTTAGATGGACACCTATCATCAGCTGTAGAGCTATGTATGTCCCACAGTTAGCATGTAAAGGCTGTAATATGTACAGAGAGATCCTGCTGTTCCCTTTGTTGGTGCAGGTGCTCAGATCAGATCTGGGCTCAAACGTGTACAGAAGGTCGTGAGAAAGCCCCATTCCCAATCAGGAATGGGAATTTAGTTAGTAGTGCTACAGTTTTGTTTAGGAACCTTTAAGCCAGCGAGAGGAATAAACAGTGCCAACAGCGACTGGGTGCTGTCCCCTCTGCAGGCTTTCAGAAGGTGACCAATCGGGAAAAATTTTAGTGAAGTGGGGCCTGAAGGAAGCCTGGGGATAGCATGAGCTGTTCCATGCAGAGGCTGGACTAGGGGGCCGCATAACAATCTGAGATAAAGCCAAGTGTTTTGACTGGGAGCAATGCCAAGATACACTAGAGGAGTCCCAGAATAAAAATGTGGAGTTGAAACAAGCATAATATTTACATTAACCTCATTGGTTCTAAGAACAAGAATTACAGCTTTTCTATATAGATCCTAAAAATAATAATCAGTGAGAGGAACAAAACGATACACAAGCACATTGGCATAAGTGAATAAGTTCTTCATAACTGTTGTGATAATATTTTATTTTCCATTTTTAACTTAAAAAATATACAAATTAAAATATACATAAAAATATTTTGGGTTTTTTTTTTTTTTTTACTTCGAGCTGGTTCCATTTGTTGTGTTCACAAACACTAAATATGTTTCCAGCTCCGTTTGAATCAAGCCTCCTTGTTACTGTTGCAGGTGTATAGACGCGTGGTTTGAGGTGAATCGCTCCTGCCCGGAACATCCCAGCGACTAGGAGCTGCAAATGTCCACTACCACAGTACATCACTGGGATCGACTGTGTGCCCTGACCTCATCCCAACACTGTCTTTTCCAGTCACGCATCAGCGCTCCTCAGGGATTATAAGACATTATTGTGTGCAGTTTTCACATTGCCTCATGGACTTTGGATATGCCTCCTTAGGTGAAGTGAAATGTTCAAGGAGCCGCACCGGTGGAGTCATTTCAAAATATGTGACATCCCTCGTGTCACCTACTGGCCTAAAGAAGATTCATGAGCTGGGCTGTGTTTTTGATTTGTTTTTTTTTGTTGAGCTGGGCGTGGTTTTTATAGGAGAGGACTTCTAAGACCGACATCTCTCTTCAGGAGGGACGGAGGCCAACAGACTGTGGAGAGAGACGATGAGAAGGCTGATGTTGTGCAATATGAAAAGCAGCCACAGGGACTGGGGAGGAGAAAAATGTCTTTATCAGCTTTAAGGGATGATTGCAGTGTTGACGTAAGGAAGCAGATTTCAATGTTATTGCAAAATAGGCTGTTGATATTGTTTGGTAAACAATCATGTGTCATAGACCAAGCAGTCTAACGTGAAATAGTTGGACGATTACCACTCGGCCATTTAGAACCACATTACTGTGATTGCGTAGTTTAGTTGTGGGTTTTTTGTTTTGTTTTGTTTTTTAAAGTTGGGTTGTAACATATCTGATGGTGATTCATGCTCGCTCTCTCTCTCTCTCTCTCTCTCTCTCTCTCTCTAAAAGAGTGCCATAATGTGCTGCTATGTGATAGACTGGAAAGTTTTTCTATAACCTTTGAACCTTTTCGGTCAATGTTCTTTCTGTTTGTACTGTGATGAGTTGCACAACAATAAATGTTTTGTCTTTGTGCCTTTTTCCTGCATGAGAACTGTTAATGTACATTTGTGTCTTTACACTCGTCCTCCAATTAAAAAGTCGTATAAAGTGTGAAGTTTGCATTCTTTCCAACCGACAGCTGTACTTACTTACAATCACGCAAAGGTATTACATAACATCTGCAGTTTATCCCGCAAACATTATTTTGTTGTTTTAATTGTTGAGAAAAATTAAAATCTTAATGGCACCATTACTTTTGACAGTAAGTACTAAAACTAGCAGCTGCAAAAATGCAGGGATGATGTGTGATACCTGTTTAGAAGTCAGTGAGCAGAGGCATGAAGAGCCAGGAGTTATTTGTTTGTCTGAGGACTTGCAATCTTTTCATTGGTTACAGAGTGTTTAGTAATGAAATGTATGCGTGCCAGAGAAGGTATTTTCATATGAGGGCAAAGGACAACAAATTAAAATATGACAATACTTGCTGATGATAGTAGTTTACCTCCACCAAGATTAGACAGCTTTAAAACAAAGTTCTAGGAATCCTGAAAGTCTCCTTACGTGAGTCCAAAAAACAAATCCACATACTACTGTATGCATGTATACTTCTATCTATCGATCTAAGTTCAATCAAACACATTCGGTGAGTTAATGGTTTATACTTGTGTTACAATCAACTTTTGGATACATTTTCAAGGAGGAGCATTTGATATGATGTAATAAAGTAGATAAAATGCAGCTGTGCCTTAGTCACATTAAACAGTAACCAAATGTAATGTTACTATAATAATAAAAATTAAATCTAATAAAATGTTATCAACTATGAAACACAAACACCTTTTCACAGCCCATGTGTAAAATGAAAGGACCAAAAATAGATCCCAAAGGTTGATTCTGTTCATCTGGACGTAGAGTTTTCAGTGGGAGAAACATTTCGTCACTCATCCAAGTGACTTCTTCAGTCTCAGCTCTCTATCAACTCTCTACTCATGGCCATTGATCAGTGGTCTTTGATCAGTAGTTGTTTGCATATTAATGATCAAGGAACTGACCTCCCACCCATTGTCCCTTCAGTGGTGCTAGTTTCAGTCGTTATACAATGAACTGTTTATAAGATTGGGGAATCCTGCAGTCAGCTGAGACTGAAGAAGTCACTTGGATGAGTGATGAAATGTTTCTCCCACTGAAAACGCTACGTCCAGATACACAGAAGCAGCCTTTGGGATTTACTTACCCGGATGATTGAGCATGCATCAAGATATCAAGATAAGACCAAAATAGATGGGAACAAGTTTCAGTAATTAGCCCACAGTACTATGTCATTCTCAAACCTTTATAGAAATGTTTCACTGGGTAAATCACCTTAAATGAAGCTCATCTGAACCTTATTTGTCTGAAAGTACTTTTGTGCAGGGACCTGTAACTGTGTAATGTTTTTCAGTGTAACCACAGTATAAACCTGTCTTCTACAATCACTGGTAAAGACCAAAAGTTCTTCCAGATGGGGCGGGGCTATAGGAGTGGGGTGGCTCTGACTTATCTGAAATTTGTTTGCTCCTCTTCTTCACACACATTCATTACTTAAGTAGAAATACAGATAGTTGTATTTAAAAATGCTCTAGTAAATATTAACATACTCATTCAATGTCCTTACTCAAAAGTTTAAAAAAAAGTACAGGCTCTGAAAGGTACTCTAAACAAAAATAAAAAGTAGCTCTCTGTATTTTTGACAACTAATTAAAACTCATGTTATATTATTATTCTTTTTTTTTCTTTTTTTTAAACTTAACAAAGGCAGTAAAAAATGTGGCTGTATTTGCTGTTGTCTAAATTGTAGCTGGGTGACTTTGCCTCCACACCTAAATAGAAAAACGACTATAGGGCTACATCGAGGTTTGGCAGGTGTGGAAACCCTAAAATTACCTGAAAAGAAAGACGTAGAAACAAGTGACAAGTTGTTTCGGATTGGATTTTCTGAATTCCTATGACTCCCACACCCCACCAACCCCCTGTGCCACCCCATTAAAAAAAGAATCCCGGAAATGCCCCTGTTTCCAGTTAATATTAAGAAAATTCTTCCATGTTGCAGCTGGAAAGGTTGCCGTGTTTTCCTGAAATCTGATTTTGGAAGTCTCATAAATGAAAATCAGAGGTTACCTAAAGTAGATTGCATAGGGTCAGGACGTCTTACAGTATAATTCACTAAGGAAAAACTTAAAATCTGGCTGCATCTGACTAAAACGTACACACGGACGTGACGTAAACACGTCTGGCGCTGAATTGATGACGCCACGCGCCTAGAAACGAACCTTCTGCGACAAAGTACACAGCGGCTGTATTATTCAACAAAGTTTCTCTTTCTTAGAGTTGCGAATTGCGTTTTTACCACATACGTGGCCCAATAACACGGATTTATTTACATTTTTAGGTAAGTGTTTCCGAATTTTGTTCACTTCTTTTCATGCAGGGCTCACTATTTCTCCTTCCAGATTTTTCCTTGCTAACCTCAACCCAGACTGCCCCGTTAGCAGCAGGCTTACTGCCTGTTATGACTAACACAAACAAACGCAGAGGTTTTATTGGATGTAATTTATAATGTAATTTACACATTTGCTACTGTTGTAATAAAACGTATTTATTTGCAGCTTAGGAATCAACAACTTCGGATCAACATGTCGTACATGCTACCACATCTCCACAACGGCTGGCAGGTCGACCAAGCCATCCTGTCTGAGGAGGACCGAGTCCTGGTTATCCGCTTCGGACACGATTGGGACCCGACATGTATGAAGATGGACGAAGTTCTTTACAGCATCGCGGAAAAGGTCTGAGTAGTTTAAAAAGGCCACTGTTTGCTAGCTTATGTTTCTTATCTGAACTCCTGTAGAGGGCGCTATTTGTGGGGGTTTAATGTAATATTACCTGAGTGTTAAGCTGATAAAATTTAATATGCTTTAAGGTCAATACGTGGACTATTTTACCATTTATTGTAACATTTAAATAAGACATAAAAACTTACAAATTGAAAATATATGCTCAGCATCTTTGGTGGGGTCTTATTCTGGGATGTAGTGATTTCTCTATCCTGCAAATAATCATTCTAAGTGCAAGTCTTTCTCTTACTGTTAATTTCAACTTAAGAGGTGAAATTTTGTAGAGCCTATAATTTATACAAATGTAATGCTGGCACTTCCCCCCCCTCCCTCTCCTGAGTCGTCTTTGTTTTGGTAATTTTGTTTGTGTTCATGGTTCAGGTTTTTCCCAAGTCTTTGAGTTTCAGCAAGTTACCGCCAGTAATTTGCTGATATATGTTAGTCAGTGTGGCAACAGTTTTTATTCTTTCACTTGTAAACTCAAAACCCGGAGGGAAAAGTAGCCATAAAAGACAGTGTGACTTTATTAATTACTCAGTTCAGAGAGCCAACTTCACCCATGTTTCTGGGTCACTCCTTGAGAGCAGTGTTATGGATACAACAAGTCAAGAAGAGGGGGAAAAAGTGCACTTAGCTACATTTTCGCTATGATAACTGCAGTGTCAGTGCAGTTTGATTCAATATTACTGAATTCTCCCATAGATTAAATTTAGTTTTGTTTTGGTTTTTTTGGCCTTTTAGCCTTTAATGGATAGAGACAGCATAGCTAGACAGGAAAGTGGACATGCAGCAAAGGGCCACAGGTCAGACTGGAACCCAGGCCTGCTGCTATCTGGCCACAGGCCTGCTTACCAACAGAGCTAAACCGGCGCCCCTGTTTAGTATTTATTTATTTATTTAAACCCACCCAGATTTTTTTTTTCTTTGAGACTTTTTAATGCCTCTTAAAGGGGCCCGGAGGCTCCGTACTACATTGACTGGTCATGGAAGATTATTGCTGATTGTACAACCAAGGCTTTTGCTAGAGGATTTGGCTCTGAGGTAGCAATTTGTTGATGATTTTCCAGATGTAACCTTGCTACCCAGAGCTGTTAAAGTTAAAAAGAAACCTGGCCTTGTGTAATTTTTAAAAGATAAAATTGACTTAATGTCCAGGAAAACGTTTTGCTAAGAGCAACATTTTTCTTCATTTTTTTTTTTGTGCGTGTCTGTATTTACTTTGTTTTTCTGAACTCATGGTTTTTATATCTGTGCCTTGACAGGTTAAGAATTTTGCAGTCATTTACCTGGTGGACATCACGGAAGTACCAGATTTCAACAAGATGTACGAGTTGTACGACCCCTGCACTGTCATGTTCTTCTTCAGGTGAGGCTGTCAGTGTCAGCTCTGCATTCTGTCACTGTTGTTGTTATTTAGTAGACTGGCATTGCTGAAAGGCACTCAGGTTATTAATTATTAAAGCTAATCAGATTAACAAAACTGCAAAATCTTTTTTTCTTGAGAAGTGAGTGCAGTCATTATCCTTACATAAATGAAGTGCACAATCCAGTTCTTTCAACGCTAAAAGTGCTCAGCTGTGCTCTTCTGGACTCTGCTTCACATCAAACTCACAACACATTAAATAAACAGACCAGAAGACTCTACTAGAAAGGTATGAGGGTGCGTGGGGGAAAACACCAGATACTGATATTTTAATAAAGAAGTTAACATACTCTGGGAATACTTTGAACAAGAGGACACATCTCATGCATGACGGTCCCGAGAAAACTTAACCGAAACACTGGACACGCTTATCTTAACGCAGCTGCCCCCCCAGAACAAGCAATCACGTTTTGATTGTAAGGCGACAAGGTACCTGATGGGAGGCAACCTTTATGCAAACAGTTGCTGTTCGACTTGAATGAGCAGTCACACTCTGAGAGATTGCCGTATGCTTGTAAATACGTGCTGTCTAATTTGTAAATGCAGACAGGTTGCCAGCATGTTGCCAGCAGTTTGAATGAGTCTTTGGCTACGTCCACACGTACCCGGGTATTTTTGAAAACGCAGATTTTTCTATACGTTTGCACCTTTCGTCCACAGTAAACGCGTTTTGTCACTGAAAACGAAGATTTTTAAAAACTCCGGCCAGGGTGGATATTTTTGAAAACTCAGTTTTTGCATTTACGTGTGGACTAGAAAAACGGAGAAAACGCAGCGTCAAAGGTGTGCGCATTTTTTGACGTCACACTGTGCGCCACGTTATTGTTTCGGTGAAATGAATTTCTACAATACTGTTACTGTTAATTCTACTCTCTGCAGTGTTTAAATGCTTACATATACACACAGTTACTGTCCCTCCACACATACGACTCGGTTCTGCTTCTATGCCCCAGCTTTGTTTACTTTTTCCCACCGAGGCTTCTAGACTTCTGATTGGCCAACATTTCTGCACGGTTAGGAATCTAGCGCCACCTGCTGCTTTGGCATGTTCATAGCAGCGTTTTCCTTCATTTCTGCCTTTATGTGTGGACGGGATTATTTTTTAAAACGAAAACGGAAAATCTCCGTTTTCAAAAATACCCGTGTACGTGTGGACGTAGCCTTTGTCAAAAGCTGAAGGCAAGTCGACTCACCTGGCTGCCAGCTGGTTGTATTCCTATAGTTTATGCTCTGATCATCATCAGGAGCATCATCTATCAGCAGTCTTCCTCATGATTGTGATTGGCTGTATCAAACTAAACAGATGGACAGTTATTTGTTTTTGACTGAAGACCATAATTATAAAAATTAAAAGAAGAACACTTGAAATAATTCACATTATGTCACTGAAATTTCAAAAGGAAAAACAACAACTTCAATTTTTAATTTTAATCTGTTTTCCACATTAGAACACAGATAGAAACCCAGTTTTTAGTATTTAAATGTGATTTAAAGGAACTTGACATCAAACTTCATTTCATCCCATTTTCAGGAACAAACACATCATGATTGATTTGGGCACCGGTAACAACAACAAGATCAACTGGACAATGGAGGACAAGCAGGAGATGATAGACATTATTGAAACTGTGTATCGAGGAGCAAGAAAAGGCCGAGGTCTGGTAGTGTCTCCCAAGGATTACTCTACAAAATACAGATATTGATTCTTCTTTTACTTCTCTTCTCCTTTTTGTTGGAGTTCTTTTTTTTCCATCCCTGCTGTTTTGGACAGAGACTACAAATTTCAGAAGTCGAGGATTTTCTTTTCCAGTATTTTCATTTTGCCAGTGAAAGAGGACAATATTGTTGTTATTGGTTGTGTATTTGTTACTTTGTGCCATTTGGGGTTTTTGTGTGTGGGTATCAGTTTAACGCGGTTCCTTAATGAACTGATTATTGTGCTTTTTTTAATTTTCTTGTGTGAAATGAACTGAACAGATCACACACAGTGTACACGGCCCATATATTTAAAAGTTGTAATAAACCTGGATTTTTACTGAGATTTTTTTCCTGAGTAAAGTTTCTGTGGCTGGTAAAGTTTATTTATTTATTTATTTTATGCTTTTTTTCTTCCTGTAAGGAGGACCACAGCCACACAGTGGCTGCAAGATGGGTAGAGACAAATGAGCTTCTAAGTAATGTGTTGATAGCTTGTTGAATGCCTTTGAGTTAGATTTTGTCTAATTAGAGTTTTAGCTCTGATGACCACGCTAGACGGAGAACAGGAATTTAAAAAATGCCTAAGGAGCTTGGAGCTTTTCTTTCCAAGCTCCTTACACTCCAATGACCTGGATGACTGAGAACCTTCATAGACAAAACTAAGTTTTTCTGTGTCCTCATGTTGAAATCTAATCTCAATATTTCCCGACCTAGTTGGGTCCACAGGCAATAAACACATAAGTAAATAGTTGAATATCTAACTATTTTAATTCAAACAATTAAAATATAAAGTGCAGATTTTCAATTTTAACAGATAATGTGGTGTTTTGGACCTGAGCTGAAGATCCAACCTATAGACCTAAAATACAATTCCCTGATGTCTCCACTAGATGGAGCCAGAGCTATTTGGAAGAAGACTGCATCGTTATAACGTTGCAGGTTCCAGCCTTACTGCTGAACATTGGTCAAGTGTGCTGTCACAATGACCTAATTCCAATTGTCCCGGCACCCTCCCAATCAGTAACTAGTGTAACTCCGTGTGGATGCCCACTTGGAGCTGCAGTAGTGCCTCGTTTAAGGGATAAGGGTTTAAATGCAAGCTCTGAGACAGCTTTGTCCTCACACAGGAACAGGAGCTTCCACTCAGCACCTGCAGCTAATTCTACTGCTGTCAGATGGATGTGTTAACATAGTCCTTCATCTGCTGCGCTTCACTTTCATTCATCATTTACAAAAATCCGACTTGTCTTTAATCTTTCTTGTTATTAGTATTTATAACAACAATAAGACAAATAAGAGATTAATTTTTAAGCACAATACAGAATTTCACTAAGTATTCCTCTTATTACTGAAATGGATCATTTGAAATAATCATAACTCAAACGAATGGGGCCAACATCCAGGCATACAAACTTAAATAAAAGATAAGACTTTTTGCTCACTTTCACAGTTTAAATGATTAAAATTTAACTACTTAACTAAAATATTACCAGACAGCAGCACGGCAAACAAGTGCTCCGTGTGTACACGTCACAAGGATAAAAACTAAATTATGCACATTTTACAAACACTAAACAGGATAAATCAAATTATCAAGCCACATGTAAAAATACATAAATAAAAAATAAACACTATTGCTTACACGAGCTAGAAAGATTACAATATACAGGAAATCGCTGTAGTTTCTGTCAGTTTGATCACATTTTTTCCATTTTGCTTCACATCTGTAGAAAAGTTGGTTTGATGTAATAAAAAAAACAAAGAGACGAAACTATAATAACCCTGGGACATGTTCACACACTGAACTGTTTATGAGTGTGATGTCCTGTGGGAAGAAGCATTTCTTGTGTCAGCCTGTTTCGGAGCTCTTTAGCGCCTGCCAGACGGGAGAAATTCACATAAGTTCTGGACAGAGTGTGAAGTGTCTGGGATGGAAAAATAACCCTCAGAGGAGTCCTGGTTACTGTTATATCTCTGCATTTACATTTTAAACCAAAGTATATACATTTTAACACAATTAAAGCTTAGATGGATAATACTTCTGTTAGAAAAAAAACAACACTTATAGGTCTTCATAGTTGCAAACTCCCGAAACATCAGGGGTAAGAAAATGAAACCAGGGTTTGAATTTTCCACAGTCTTTGGTTTTAATCTCTATGCAGCATTTAAAGAAAAGGGGGAAAGAGAGCGGTGAGGAGTTTGAGAATAAGAGAATCTCATTAGTATCCTTCAGCTGTCACCTCCATGTTTTACAGCTCCTTCCGGTTGGACACCGCACACCAAACGGGAGTCCAATTTGCCGAGTGACAGACGAGGTGAAAGGAGACAAACTCCGTCTCTCTCCGTCTGTTTCGTTTTACGCGAGCGTGTTTGGACCGGAGACACAAAGAAGAATCCAGAGAAAACAGCCTGACCTCTTCACCTCTAATCTCACAATCAGGGTGTGTGTTCGCTTCCAGTTCACTGCACTGTATATTTCTGCCCAGTGTGTTGGGCACAGAGAGTAGACAGCTGGCCACTGAAAGGAGATGAGTGAGGACCGAAAAGGGCCAATAACTGCTTTGGCTGCTGCCAAAACCAAACACTCTGACCACACTGACATAACATGTGAAATATCTGTTTTTCAGGAAACAGAAAAATGCAGTGTTTTTAAAGCTGCTGTTGATTTTTTAAGCTTAACATTATGAAAGCTAAAGCCAAGAAGTAACCTCACTGCCTTAATTTGTGTACAGTGGCAGGCCTGAGAATATTTGCAGTTCAAAATAAACTAATATCCTCATACTAGTCTGTGTTTATAGACCATGTTGGGAATCTATACACACACCCTTAAGGCCTTGCATGTTCTTTCCACTTAGATTAGCCTGGCATGGCTTTGTCTTTGTCTGGCCTGTCCCTGCAGGGCGCGCACACCATTACTGTGCCACTGTCCTCATATGGAGCACGGGGCCAAAGGCCAACTCCATCGGTCCATTATAATTCACATTATCATGCGTTGTTCCCTGTAACTGTTAATCAGCTCAGCCTCCGGGGAAAGTGGAGGGAAACTCCAGTCTAGACGCACACAGTGAAGAGCATGTAGTGGAGTCGTTGCTCTTATGCACTATACAGGGAACGTGCACGCACTAAAGCTGCATTAATCCAGGATCTGTTTTCAGCTGATAGTGTTTAAAGTGGATCTGCACAAAGAAGGGTGCAGCATGCAGACCACGAGGATCATCTGGGTGCCAAGGGGGAAGACACGCTGGCATCTCTCCATCCCTTTCTCTGCTCCCTTTCTCGTCTGACACTAACCATGTGGATGGAGAGGAGGGGGGCAATTGCCAATTTCTGGGACACCCCATCCCCCTAGCCCTGCAGCTTCCCCTGTTGGCACTGATTCAGATGCACACTCATACACAAATATTGTATTTACCCATTTCTCTTACCCGGTGACAGTTTGGTCACAGCCTAACCCAAATGTGTGCCACATGACGATCTGAGCCACTGCTCTCAAAGTTAGCATCAACTGTCATCCTGGGTAAAGCACTGCTGACCCCTAAAGCTAAACAAAGATCTTTTAACAATTTGGTCCACAGAATGAGTCAACATGGCCTTTTCAACCAGATTCAGACTCATTAGATTTTACAAGCCTAAATTAGATTCTTTCTCTATAAATTTAAAGTGAATTTTGTTTTACTTTTGAATTATCTGTTGTATTATGTCACGTTAGCTATGTTTGCTGTGCACACTTACAGTTATGGCAGTTTTGTTTTCACCATACAATAACTCAAAAAATTGTACATAACCTTAAAATCACTGAATTTCCCAGAGGAACCCAGCAGAGGGATTAATAAAGTTTTATCTAATCTATCTAATGTAATCTAAAATCAAAATCAACACCTCTACTATGCTGCTAGGTAAAGAGCCAAGCTAGCTAATGAGACAGGCAAACAGTTCAGAAGAATTTTAAACAGATGAGATTGGCAAATTACAAAAATTAGTTTTTGTTTTGTCCCCCACCCCCACCCCCACCCACAACAAACAAAAACAAATAAGAAAAGCTAAAATATGTTATCAACAAGCTAGCATTTTAGGTAACATCTTAGCTTAACTAGAGCTTAGCTTAGCTTAAATAGAGTGTTATAAAATGCACACACTTATAAACCAGTAAAAGGTAGAAAATGGTAGAAGTATTATTTGATTTTCTACTTTCCACAAGGTTGTGAACCCCTTAATTTTTTTATTAGCTTTAACTGGAATGATTTAATCAGGTCAAACAAGAAGGAAATACAATAAATCCAGATTGCATTTGAAAAGATGTGAATTTAATCCTATAGCTGTAACATTAAAACCATTGAATCTTAAAGTGGACATTGTAGACCCAGTATACTGGTTCCTGTTATTCATGTATGTGTTTTGACATATGCCACCAACCCAAATGTCGTTGCAGACCAAATCAATACATGTATGGAAAGTTAATTAGCCATACACTTTTTGTTTATGGTTATTAAGACACATGGAAGATATCCATCCATGGTATGTCAAATAAAGTTATTTAAAACTAATATATATATATACATATATATATATATTTTAGGGGTGCAACGATACACAAAATTCATGGTTCGGTTCGATACTTTGGTGTCACGGTTTGATATTTTTTCGATACAAAAAAATGTTCATGCCTTTTTAATTTGTCATTTATTAAAATTATAAATATATATTTTAACTCAAAAGTACAGTTTTTAAATTTAATGTTGCTGAAACAACAAAATAAAAAAAATTAAATAAATCTATCTGATTGAGAAATCACTCATCTTTGGAAAAGAGAGTTTATTGCAGAGAAATGGCTCTTTCCAAAATAAAAGCTATACTATACGCTTCTTCTGGGCTATATTCTCAGCAGCATATTAAACATATCAGGTCCCCATAAGAAGAATCCTGTGCTAACGGCTGTCTAAATGACTCGGGTAAAGTTTGTAGCATGCGTGCTTGTTGTTTTTGTCTGCTTCCACTTGTCTTTGCACTAGGATGATGTTGGCGTAAATGTGCAGTCATATTTGTTGTGTTCCCACTAGTGCTGTCAGCGTTAATCTCGTTAAAATGACATTAACGCCATGACGCCGCAAATCTCTGTTAACGAGTTACCGCGGATCGCCCCGTGCGTGGGGCTGGGCGGCGTCAACACGTTAACAAGCTAACTGCGCTAACACACTAGTTCCCGCCAATGTAATTGAGCATTGCGTGGCACATCTGACATACTGTTTTACTTTTGTCCATGACGCGCTTACCTTCAGGGTCATACGTCACATGAAAACCAAAATAGTTCCAAAGGCCAGATCTGAATGAGGGTGGGGGAGGTTC